TTTTTTTTAAATTACATCCAAATTAGTTAGCATATAGTGAAACAATGATTTCAGGAATAGATTCCTTAATGCCCCTTACCCATTTAGTGCATCCCCCCTCCCACAACCCCTCCAGCAACCCTCAGTTTGTTCTCCATATTTATGACTCTCTTCTGTTTGTCCCCCTCCCTGTTTTTATATTATTTTTGTTTCCCTTGCCTTATGTTCATCTGTTTTGTCTCCTAAAGTCCTCATATGAGTGAAGTCATATGATTTTTGTCTTTCTCTGACTAATTTCACTTAGCATAATACCCTCCAGTTCCATCCACGTAGTGCAAATGGCAAGGTTTCATTCTTTTTGATTTGCCAAGTAATACTCAATTGTGTATATATACCACATCTTCTTTCTCCATTCATCCATCTATGGACATTTGGGCTCTTTTCATACTTTGGCTATTCTTGATAGTGCTGCTATAAGCATGGGGTGCATGTGTCCCTTCAAAACAGCATACCTGTATCCCGTGGATAAGTGCCTAGTAGTGCAATTGCTGGGTCGTAGGGTAGTTCTATTTTTAGTTTTTTGAGGAACCTCCATACTGTTTTCCAGAGTGGCTGCACCAGCTTGCATTCCCACCAATAATGCAAAAGAGATCCTCTTTCTCCGCATCCTCGCCAACATCTGTTCTTGCCTGAGTTGTTAATGTTAGTCATTCTGACAGGTGTAAGGTGGTATTTCATTTTGCTTTGATTTGTATTTCCCTGATGATGAGTGATGTTGAACATTTTTTCATGTGTCGGTTGGCCATCTGGATAGCTTCCTTGGAGAAGTGTCTATTCATGTCGTTCACCCATTTCTTCACTGGATTATTTGTTTTTTGGGTGTTGAGTTTGATAAGTTCTTTATAGATTTTGGATACTAACCCTTTATCTGATATGTCATTTGCAAATATCTTCTCCCATTCTGTCGGTTGCCTTTTAGTTTTGCGAATTGTTTCCTTTGCTGTGCAGAAGCTTTTTATTTTGATAAAGTGCCAGTAGTTCATTTTTGCTTTTGTTTCCCTTGCCTCCAGAGACGTGTTGAGTAAGAAGTTGCTGCGGGCAAGATCAAAGAGGTTTTTGCCTGCTTTCTCCTTGAGGATTTTGATGGCTTCCTGTCTTACATTGAGGTCTTTCATCCATTTTGAGTTTATTTTTGTGTAAGCAAGTGGTCCAGGTTCATTCTCCTGCATTTCTCTGTCCAGTTTTCCCAGCAGCACTTGTTAAAGAGACTGTCTTGATTCCATTGGATATTCATTCCTGCTTCGTCAAAGATGAGTTGGCCATATGTTTGTGGGTCCATTTCTGGGTTCTCTATCCTGTTCCATTGATCTGAGTGTGTGTTCTTGTTCCAGGACCATACTGTCTTGATGATTACAGCTTTGTAGTATAGCCTGAAGTCTGGGATTGTGATGCCTCTTGCTTTGGTTTTCTTTTTCAAGATTGCTTTGGCTATTCGGGGTCTTTTCTGGTTCCATACAAATTTTAGGATTATTTGTTCTAACTGTGAAGAATGCTGGTGTTACTTTGATAGGGATTGTATTGAATATGTAGATTGCTTTGGGTAGTATTGACATTTTAACAATATTTGTTCTTCCTATCCAAGAGCATGGAATCTTTTTCCATTTTTTTGTGACTTCTTCAATTTCTTTCATAAGCTTTCTATAGTTTTCAATGTATAGATTTTTCACCTCTTTGGTTAGATTTATTCCTAGGTATTTTATGGTGTTTTGTGCAACTGTAAATGGGATTGATTCCTTGATTTCTCTTTCTGTCACTTCATTGCTGGTGTATAGGAATGCAACCGATTTCTGTGCATTGATTTTATGCCCTGCAACTTTGCTGAATTAATGTATCAATTCTAGCAGTTTTTTTGTGGAATCTTTTGAGTTTTCCATAGAGAGTATCATGTCATCTGTGAAGAGTGAAAGTTTGACCTCCTCCTGGCCAATTTGGATGCCTTTTATTTCTTTGTGTTGTCTGATTGCAGAGGCTAAGGCTTCCAATACTATGTTGAATAACAGTGGTGAGAGTGGACATCCCTGTCTTGTTCCTGACCTTAGGGGTCCCATTGAGGATGATATTAGTGTTGGGTCATTCATATATGGCTTTTATGATCTCTAGGTATGCTCCTTCTATCCCTACTTTCTTGAGGGTTTTCATCAAGAAAGGATGCTGTATTTTGTCAAATGCTTTCTCTGTATCTATTGAGAGGATCATATGGTTCTTGTCCTTTCTTTTATTAATGTGATGAATCACGTTAATTGTTTTGCGGATATTGAACCAGTCCTGCATCCCAGGTATAAATCCCACTTGGTTGTGGTGAATAATTTGTTTAATGTATTGTTGGATCCAGTTGGCAAATATCTTGTTGAGGATTTTTGCATCCATGTTCATCAGGGAAATTGGTCTATAGTTCTCCTTTTTAGTAGAGTCTCTGTTTGGTTTTGGAGTCAAGGTAATGCTGGCTTAATAGAAAGAGTTTAGAAGTTTTCCTTCCATTTCTATTTTTTGGAACAGCTTCAAGAGAATAGGTGTTAACTCTTCCTTAAATATTTGGTAGAATTCCCCTGGAAAGCCATCTGGCCCTGGACTCTTGTTTTTTGGGAGATTTTTGATTACTAATTCAATTTCCTTACTGGTTATGGGTCTGTTCAAATTTTTTATTTCTTCCTGTTTCAGTTTTGGTAGTGTATATGTTTCTAGAAATTTGTCCATTTCTTCCAGATTGCCCATTTTATTAGCATATAATTGCTCATAATCTTCTCTTATTATTGTTTTTATTTCTGCTGTGTTGGTTGTGATCTCTCCTCTTTCATTCTTGATTTTATGTATTTGGGTCCTTTCCTTTTTCTTTTTGATCAAACTGGCTAGTGGTTTATCAATTTTGCTAATTCTTTCAAAGAACCAGCTTCTGGTTTTATTGATCTGTTCTACTGTTTTTTTGGTTTCGATAGCATTAATTGCTGCTCTAATCTTTATTATTTCCTGTCTTCTGCTGGTTTTGGGTTTTATTTGCTGTTCTTTCCCCAGCTCTTTAAGGCGTAAGGTTAGGTTGTGTATCTGAGATCTTTCTTCCCCCCTTCCCCAGTCTCCATCCTCTGTCTGCCCGCAAAAGCAGTTCCCTACTTTTTGCGGCCTCTAGCTCCCCAAGTTCAGCTCTCCGCGCTGCATACCTGCTGAATTCTGTGGTACAGGTTGTGTTGGTTGTTGTGTTAATCCTCCAATCAGTTTTCTAGGTGTGTAGGATGGTTTAGTGTTGGTCTGGCTACTTTTTGGCTAAGATCCTTAGCCTAAATAAGTGTCAAATATATATTGTGCCAGTTTTTTTAAACCATCTTCTTTACAAGATAAAACCTCTTAATTAAAGAAGGCGAATGGGCTTGACTTGTGTATATTGTATTTATGCTTTATTATTTTTCTATACAATACTTTGGATGCCTGAGATGATCATTATAAATTTCTTTTTATTATTCTAAATTTGTATTATCCCCTTAAGTGGTGTATTGGATTGCTATAGTTCACAACCTCCAGCCATAAAATACAAAGCAATAAAATCTTCTAATTAATGCACACATATGCAAAGTTTGTAATTAAATGCAAAGCTATAATTGGACCCAGTGCCCCATCTAACATGAAATAGTAATAGCAATGAACTAGGGGGAAGAAAAAAGAAGACCTGAAATACTCAGCATTGAAGTTGAATAGTTATTTACAGTAACTTAAAGAAAAAACATTATTCCAGGTTTTAGGGAGAAGAAATATCCATAAAACCAATAAGGAGAAAATCTGTCTCTATTTATCATTACACAGGAGGATAAGGTCTACTGTATTCCTGACACACTAAGGTGGGGGAAGACTATAGCAAATTTATGGATGTAGTAGCTAAGGAAATAAGCTCATCTTTTGACTATAATCTGCCCACGTATACCCCTACACACGGAAAAAAAATGCACACACGCACATACACACTTACTTAATGGGAGCCTTAAATTCCCACTTTCTTTTGAGTTTTTTTTCTATACATTTCTATATAAATATTATGTCTCTTGCAGCAAATGGAGTTGTTTTGCTTTTGACTACAAGTATTTCCAAAGATGATATCAAATGACCAACAAATACACTTTTCACAAACAAACTTGTTTCTAATTCTAAAAATTAACAGTAATTAGGAGTTCTGAATTTTACATGAAATAAGAGTAGGGGGAGTCTACATTATTGTATTATATTAATTTTAGGATCTAATTAACCAAAGTTGCTTCTCCCCTACTCTTCTAATCAAACTGTCACTACCATCCACATAGTCACCCATACCAGAGCCTCGAAATCATCCATCATTCCTCACTGTCTCTCTGCCCTGGGGCACCTTAATCAATCAATAAATCCTATTAGTTCTATCTACAAAATGTAGCATGAATTTATCTTACTGACACAACCCTAATCCAGCCTACTATCATTAATTAGCTTTTCCACTGCAATTGCCCCTTGACTCTTTCCCCCAATATCCATTTTTCCCACCTTGAATCCATCCTTTGTACTGCAGCCAGCGTGACTGATCTTTAACAAACATAAGCTGATTATAGTACTAATTTTTCTTAAAGAATGTTAAATGCCTCCCCTTTCCTTGTCGATGAAAGACCATGTAAGATGACTCCCCAGAGGGACTCGTCTTACCTGACACTTCACCTCACTCTCTAAACTCAAGCCCACAACCATCCTTCAGTTCCTGAAATGTTTTCTTTCTGCTCAGGTCCTTTGCCCATCCCTCTCATTCTGCTGAACCTGGTTAACTCCAACCAATCATTCATATCTCAACTCTACTACTCACCTCCTCTATGAAATCCTCTCAAACCCTCACATTATAAGGCAGAGTACCTCTCACATATTCTCAAAACACAATGGACTTTTTCTTCATAGCACTCATTATAGTTGAAATTCTGCAGTTATCTGGAAAAATTATTTAACTTATGTCTTTCTACCCCTACTGGACTATAAACAATTATATCTATTTGAGTTCTGTATAGTATTCTTAGCACCAAGGAGAGTAAGTACCTGGCACTTAGTAGGTAATCAATAAATACTTATTGAACAAACCCTGGTTGAAAAAAAGAATAGCCTAACTATATGGAATTTTCACTTTTGTCTTCTTTATCAACCATCAACAGCAGGTAGAATAAAAATCCTGTCAGTGCACTTGAATCTCCTATTGCGATCCCTGAAGTTCTGCTGAGCTCAAGACAGATGGAAACCCTGCAGCATCCTCACAGAATGGCTCTCAGATATGACCTGCATACAAAACAGAGAGCACAACACTGCAGGCAGAGAGCCAGCAGCCTGTTGACATCCATAAAATACAAGGCTAGCTCTGGCTTTGACCCTCTCAGGTCCAGTAAAACATGGTAAAGATGTAGAGAAGGGATGGGCTAATTTCTTGGAATTATTCCAGAAAACTTGAGTATATGACCAATTTTGAATATATAACCATTTATCAGCCATTCAGTACTACCTAATAATTTGTTATCATCTTTTCAATCTCAAAGAGCAGGAGACTAAATGCTTCAACAGTGATTTTTCTTCTTTCTGCCATTTTCCGATGACATATTTAATGACACAAAAATCAGGATAATACTTTCTCATCCTCTCTTTTCTAATTCTCATGAAAATATCACATCCTGACCATGTGGAATATGGGTGGCAGAAGAGTGACCCACCTGGAGAGGGGACACACCACCTCCAGGAAAGAGCCAAGAGGCCAAACACTGGACACAGGGTGTGCAATGAATGCTTGCCTGCTCTGGAATGGAATCAATATGCAGACATTTCTTCTCAGGGAGCTGGCTGAACATCACAAGGGATTTCTAGGTAGCAGAAGTTCTGTGTATCAGGGGTTTCCTGAAGCACAGACTGTGAAAGGTACCAGAAGCAGAATTCAATGTTAAAACAAAGGATATTGGAAACTAGGCAAGTAAAATCAAGGTCCGTGGCCAAGCAAATGGTTGGTAAATGGAGGCAAAGGGCGAATGAGAAACAGAAGATGGAAAGTCAGCTAGGCGGACTCTCCCCCTCCCTACCACACTCACTTGTCCTTGAATCTTTGTGAGATTCTATAAGATTACAGGCTCTAAATGGATGATTTTCTGATCTTTGACTCTCTAATGAACCTGATGGGAAAACCCCCAACTCTGGATCATTTCAACCACCTACCTTTCCATTCATATACCTGGTCTGGCAATCATGTACCTCAGGAGAGAATTCTCCTAACTCTGCAGAATGGCACAATTACTAGTTAATGACTCCACCCTCATCTGAGCCCCCAGTGTGTGCAGTCATCTTTCTCAACATTCCATTCAAAAATGTTCACATCCAAGTAGGCTCTTTCACACTGTCTCTGCTCCCATTGGGCCCCATCCCCACTCTGACTGTCAGCTAAGTGCCCTTCTATCTTATGGAGAAAAATAAAAGCCATAAAGCAAGAAATACCTCAATCTCTTGCCCCTTCCATTTGACCTGAAAAAGTGCCTAGATCTTTGCTTTCTTTTTTCTACCTTAGAAGAAGAGGTGGCTCTTCTGCTGCTTCAAGTTAAGCCCCCCACATACATTCAGGATCATATTCCGTCCAAGTCCTAAGAGGATTTGTTCCATCAAAGGTTTTCCCTTCCTTTTCTGTATCTTCAACTTCTTCCTTGCTACATACTCTTGGCAAATAAATCTCTCCATATTTAAAAGAATTAAGTTATCTCTTTAACTTTTTATTCCCTACTTTCCCAGGTGACCTAAAAGGCTCTTTTATGCAGGCACACCTTGGAGACATCGCAGGTTCAGTTCCAGACAGCTGCAATAAAACAAATATCGCAATACAGTGACTCAAATGATTTTTTGGGTTTCCCAGGGCATATAAAAGTTATGTTTATACTATTATTGTGCAATAGCATTATGTCTAAAAAAATAATGTACATGCTTTTATTTAAAAATACTTTATTGATTAAAAAAATGCTAGCCATCATCTGAGCTTTTAGCAGTTGAAAAAAAATTTTTTTTCTGGTGGAGGGTCTTGCCTTGATGTTGATCGCTGTTGGATGGTCAGAGTGGTGGTTGCTGGAGGTTGGTATGGCTGTGGCAATTTTTTAAAATGAGACAACAAAATTTGCCACATAAATTGACTTTTACTTTCATGAATGATTTTTCTGTAGCATGCAATGTTGTTTGATAGCATTTTACCCACAGTAGGACGCCTTTCAAAATTGGAGTCCATCTTCCCAACCCTGCCACTGATTCAACAATTAAAGTTACGTAATATTCTAAATCTTCTGTTGTCATTTCAACAAGCTGCACAGCGTCTTCACCAGGAGTTGATTCCACCTTTTCTTTTCAATAAGAAGAAACTTCTCATGTATTAAAGTTTTATCCTGAGATTACAAGCAATTCAGTTACATCTTCAGGCTCTATTTCCAATTCTAGTTTTTTGTTTGTTTGTTTGTTTGTTTGTTGCTATTTGCAGCTACTTCCTCTACTGAAATCTTAAATCCCTCAAAGTCATCCTTGAGGGTTGGAATCAACTTCTTCCAAACTCCTGTTCACATTAATACTTTGACCTCTTCCCATGAATTATGAATGTTCTTAATGACACCTAGAGTGGTGAATCCTTTCCAAAAGGTTTTCAATTTACTTTGCCTGGATCCATCAGAGGAATCACTCTCTATGGCAGCTATAGCTTTATGAACTATATTTCTTGAATAATAAGACTCTAAAGTCTAACTTACTCTTTGATACATGAGCTGCAGAATGGATGTTGTATTAACTGGTATGAAAAGAACATAAATTTCATTGTACATCTCCATAAGAGCTCTTGGGTGACCAGGGGCATTGGCAATGACCAGTAATATTTTGAAAGCCATATTTTTTTTTTCTGAAAGTAGGTCTCAACAGTGGGCTTAAAATATTTAGTAAAACGTGTTGTAAACAGATGTGCTGTCATCTAGGCTTTGTTTTTCCATTTCGAGAGCATAGGTAGAGTAGATTTAACATAATTCTTAAGGACCCTAGGATTTTTGGAATGGTAATAACCACTGACTTCAACTGGAATCACCAGCTGCATTAGCCCCTAATAAGAGTGTCAGTCTTTCCTTTGAACCTTTGAAGCCAGGCATTGACTTCTCTGTAGCTGTGAAAGTTCTAGATGTCATCTTCTTCTAAAAAAAGGTGTTTTGTCTACCCTGAAAATATGTTGTTTAGTGTAGCCACCTTCATTAATGATCCTATGAAGATCTTCTAAATAACTTACTGCAGCTTCTACATTAGCACTTGCTGCTTCACCTTGCACTTCTACGTTATGGAGATGACTTCTTTCCTTAAACCTCATGAGCCAACCTCTGCCGGCTTCCAACTTTTCTCCTGAAGCTTCCTCACGTCTCTCAGTCTTCACAGAATTGAAAAAGGTTGAGGCCCTTCTCTGGGTTAGGCTTTGGTTTAAGGGGATATTATGGTTCGTGTGATCTTCTATACAGAGCACTAAAACTTTCTCCATATCAGCAATAAGCTTGTTTTTCTTTCCTATCATTCATGTGTTCACTGGAGTCACACTTTTAACTTTTTCAAGAACTTTTTTTTTTCTTAATTCTCAACTTGGCCAACTATTTAGTGCAAGGGGACTAGGTTTTGGCCTCTCCTGGATGTCACCATGCCTTCCTCACTAGGCTTAATCATTTCTAGCTTTTGATTTAAAGTGAGAAACATGTGACTTTTCCTTTCACTGGAACACTTAGAGGCCCTGTAGGGTTATTAATTGGCCTAATTGCAATATCATTGTGTCTCAGGGAATGGGGAGGCCTGAAGAGAGGGAGAGAAATGGGAGAACAGCAGGTCAGTGGAGCAGTCAGAACGCATACAACATTTATCGATTAAATTGCCATCTTAAATGGGTGTGATTTGTGGCTCCCCAAAACAAGTATAAAGTTACATCAAAGGTCACTGATTATGGATCACCATAACAAATATAATGATAATGAAAAACCTTGAAATTTGAGCATTACCAAAGTGTGACGCGGAGACACAAAGTGGGCAAATGCTATTGGAACAATGGTGCCAATGGATTTGCTCAGTACAGGGTTGTCACATACCTTCAATTTGTAAAAAATGCAAAATCTGCAAAGTGCAATAAATCAAAGCTCAAAAAATTGTGTTCGAATACTTCTACTTTGTCTCCTCCTATTCACCTGGCATAGCTGAACCAGCTGTCACCAGATCAACAACAACTTGTTCATGATCAAACCCAATGGACACTTTTCTCTCTTTATTTACCTCACTGCATTGGACACTGTTGGCCACTTTCTCTTTTCTCTTCGCTTCTGTGAAACCAATTTTTCCTGATCTTATTCTTTCCTCTCTCCATTCCCTCATAGTGTCCTTTGCTGATATCTCTCCTTCTTCCCCCTTTCTTTTCTCATAGTACGCATATTACTTACAAAACCTCACCCACACTAGCCATCACAGACCATCCATATGCAGAGAACTTTCAAATAGCAACCCTCTTTAGTTCCAGATTGCTCTGCCCAAGATTCTAGTAAACATTTCTACTTGGATTTCCCAGAACTATCTCTAACTCAGCCCATCCCAAGCTGAATGAATGTGCTTTCTCACAAAAATGCTTATTTTGATAAACCTGTCCCTGATTGCTCCTTGGGTCACCCGTAGTAACCCAAAGCAGGAGCCTGAGAGTCCACTTAGTTACCTATCATTTGCCCTTCACATCCAACTGGTCACCAAACACTGTTGATTCTGCCTCTTAAATATTTAACAGCTCTATTCTTATCTGTCTCCAATTTTATCACTGTGGCAGATTCTCATCATTACTTTCCTGACATATAGCACTGAACTCCCAACTTATCTCATTGTCTCTCATTCGTAAGCACATCCTCCGGAGTTCTTCTCCACTTTTATTCCTTAAATGACATACCATAAAGAAAATAGGGGCAGCTATGTGGCTCAGTTAAGCGTCTGACTCTTGATTTTGGCTCAGGTCATGATCTCACAGTTTGTGAGTTCGAGCCCTGCACTGGGCTCTGTGCTGACAGCTTGGAATTCTGTCTCCCTCTCTCTCTGCCCGTCTCCTGTTTGTTGCTCCCTCTCTCTCTCAAAAATAAATAAATAAACATTAAAAAAAGAAAATAATAAAACGTCCTAGCATGTCAAACAAATGATTTGCAGTCTTAAGAACACAATTTTTATGAAAATGTATTATTTGGATATTAATAATACCTATTTCGTAGGATTTTTTTTGAGGCATACATGAGTTAATACATATAAAATGCTTAGAAGTATGTCTCTTACAAAGCAAATGCTCAGAAAAATTAGATAATATTCTAGTAGGAACTTAACCAATCTTCAATAAATAAATGATAACTGAGATAATAGGCAGAGGAGTTCATGATTTGTATCCTAGTGCTATGCAGGCACACAGAAAGAGACATTTGGACACAGTGGGCTTTAGAATCCAAGCCAATGAGGAAAAACTACTAACGTGATGCCAGGTTAAGGCCCTCACTGGTGCAAAACTGTCTTTCTGGCTTTTTGCAATCCACCTCGGGACAGACAGAGCAATTTAGAATTGAAAAGCACATTAAGGGCACCTGGGTGGCTCAGTCAGTTGAGTACCTGACTCCTGATTTTGGATCAGGTCATGATCTCATGGTTTGTGAGTTCAAGCCCCACATCAGGCTCTCTGCTTATAGCATGGAGCTGCTTGGGATTCTCTCTCTCCCTCTCCCTCTGCCCCTCCCCCACTAGTGCTCCCTCTCTCTCTTGCTCTCCTAATAAGTAAACTTAAAAAAAAAAAAGAGCACATTAACTACCAGATATCTTTCTTTGCTTCTTATTTTTATTTCTGTTGGGAATGATTCATTTCCATTTTCTTCTTTGCTTTTTCACCTGTTTGAAATCTTTGAGCCTAGACACATACATGGTGAGGACTATATTGCACACAGTAGAAACTAAAGTTCTAACTGATGTTCCCTGGGTACACGATGAGGAGAACATGCTCAAAGGATGAGCATGAAGATACTGGTCAACAGGATCCCCTTACCCACCCAACTATATTACATAAAGCTGCCAAAAGAGGTGTCTAATCCTTATAACCTTAAGGAAGATTTTACTTAAAAATACAGTCATCTTGCAGGGTCACAGGTGGCAGATCCTGTTTCTATCAGAGGCACTGAAATTTATGCTGCAAAAGGACATCTCTGTGCTCATTCACATTAACCTCCAAGACATGCCTGAACTTCCATTAATGATCTGTCATTGTTATTTATCTAAACCAGGCCTACAAGCTGTTTATGTTATTAGTCTACTTCACCATTTGTGGGCAGTGAGCTTTTCAAGTTCCAAACTTGTCTCTTTCAGATTGAAAGGGGTCACTCTGGTGTACTTGGGTTTAAGGGGGAACAAAAAAGGTCCGAATGGGGAAGCTTTGTAGTACTATGAGATATGACAACAAAAGACTTAATATTCCCGCAGATCTTTCACCGGGGCAAGATACAGCCACAACTTTTAACACAAAGACCATAAACTACTGCTGATAATAAAGAAACATATTTTACTTTAGTAATTATGGCCAGAAAAGTACGTTATTTTAAGAAGAAAACTAGCTATTAGATTTTAGACATTTTTAGTCTTCTGACTCCATTGTTCTAGAATTCAGAAAGAATCATATCCTATAATTAAATGCTCTACATAAACATACAAAGCAAATATAAGGTGTTTAATATAGTGCTTGGCACAGAGTAAATGTAATAAATGGTCATCGTTGATGTTATTTTCATTATTCTATCATCACCCATAGTCCATTGGGGATAAGACCAGAAAACAGAGCCAACCACAAGTGTGTCTTCAATTTAGGTAGATGTGGATAGAGATAGAGATAGAAGAATATATGGACATAGATGAAAGACTTCTGCATTTATCACATCACATTCACTTAGAAGCCCTGTCAGTCAGGAAAGGTAATATAATTCTCCTAATGATACGTATAAGGGAACTGACACCACAAGAAGCAGATCACGGCAGTCAGTGAAAGATTTGGGCCTGTAATTCTGTCTTTCACACTCTTACCTTCTTACTCTTTGAAGTTGAGAGGAGGGTGCAAAGGAGGTTGAGAGACAGTGATGCAAGAGAAGTCAGGGGATGAGAAAGAGTACAGGAAGCTCTTCTCGAGGTTTTCTGTGTTCCTCAGCCTATGCAAAGTATATTGGTGTCAAACAGTTTATTTTATGGGTGTGGCTTATGAAATGCATCTCTTTACTTTGTCATCTTCATAATTGATTGTAAATAGGCATAAGTCTGCATTCATGATTTGCTGTTTATTGCACCAGCATGAAAAGTCAGAACAAAGTACTATACCCTACGAAGGCTCAAATTTCTTTTTAAATTTATAATACTTGTTCTAAAGGAGAAGAGAGATTCTGACAGGCATGGGTTGATTTCCCATTATGTTCCCTAGTTTCTTGGCTCAATAAGCTAGACCTTCAACAGTGCCAAGCATACGCTGACTGCCCTGGATCACCCAAGGTATGCTGGAGGCCTTAGGAGACCATATGTTAGGCATCTGACATATGTTAAAAAAAAAGAGCTGGTCATATTTCTGAAGCAGATTTCCATAATGTATCTTCGGCCGTGCAGGAATTAGCCCTGTAGCTCATCATGTTTAATTCATGCTTAATTACATTTGAATCCGTGAACTTTTCCGTGAAGTCTTCACAATTGCACTTACATTGTAGTAGTCATACTTGCTAAATTCTCTGTGCTTTAAACACAAATGTCAGTGCCTTGTGAAATTTCACAATTATGCTATTCACTGTCATTTTTCATTCAGCCATGAATCAACATAATTTGATGATAGCTGTGCAATTATGAAAATACTGTCGAGTAGACATCACCCATGTGAACCTGGTGCTAAGCATTACTGTAATAAAGTCAGGGAAAAGTCATGAAATTCCTAGTTAGCCTGAACTTAACAGAACATGAAGTCATTTAGCTTAATTGAAAGTGTTAGCACTGAGTTTTTCTACTTCAGCCACAGAAGTTCCATACAAATTAGAGCTGCTTAGGGAAGGAGTGCCTCTATAGTTGCCTTTTACAGAGCTGACAAAACTACCAGATTTACAGTGGCATTTCATATTCACTCATCCTTCCTAAGTACCACTTGATTATCCCCTACTGCCATGTTTAAATCGAATCCTATGGGGGCACTGGATGGCTCAGTCAGTTAAGAATCCAGTTCTTGGTTTCAGCTCAGGTCCTGGTCTCATGGTCAAGCCCTGCATTGGGCTTTGCACTGATAGCTTGGACCCTGCTTGGTATTCTCTCTCTCCCTCTCTCTCTGACCCTCCCCCACCCCCACTGTCTCTCTCTGCCTCTCTCTCTCTCTCACAATAAATAAACTTTAAAAATTAAATCAAATCCTATGAAGCTCCATATCAGAAGGTCATAGACTCATAGCTAAAAGGAACTTTGCAGATTACCTGATCTCTTACAGTCATTTTGAAGATGAAAAAAGACTTCCCTAATGTCACAGCTATATAGCAATAGACAGGAACTGGAACTCAGGTTTCCTGATGCCCAAGACAGGAAATAGCATGCACTAGAGCACATCTCAGTAATGTTGCTGAGTGTTGTAAAGTAAAGCCTGAAACTTTGCCCCACCTGAGAAATGGAACACCAAAAGCTTAAATTTTGTCTCCTTCCCCATCCAGATAGATCATCCCCACTAATCTGGCTTTATGCCTGGAATCTTC